GCTACATGAGCTTCTCCCTTGTAGATAAGATATGATTTGATTTTAAATTAATTAAAATTTAATATAATTTTTGGATACAAAAGGATAAGTACCAAAAAGAAAAAGGAAAAAAAAAGAGAGAAGAAAAGTAGAGAAGATAATATTAACGGTATTAATATTTTTTCGTTGCACATGTGATGAGTTGACTATCATTTAGCCAAAATGTGTCTTTTTTCGTTGCAGTGGGGAAGATAAGATTAACGGTGTTAAGCTTTTAATTTTCTTAATTAAGAAAAAAAATCATAAATTTAAAATTAAGGTAATTCTTACCAAAACGGACATGTCTTCCTTCAAATCTCAATTTAATTGACTTAATGTTTTAAAACTTAATTTGGTAACTGACCCGTTTTTTTAACCTCTGTTCTAATTCAAGTGGTTTAATTGCCTAGTTCTATCTATCAATTTAAAATTGACTTTTTTTAATATTTTTAAATATTTTATTGAAAATGCTCTAATTACATATTATATGATATTATAAGATTATAATATGATGTATCACTTTTTAATTAATTCTTTTCTTCTAAAAATTTACTTATAGTATTATATATATATATCTATTAGTTTAACATCACATTATATTTATTTAATGCTATGTAGAATTGTAGGTCCAAAATCTCACATGGCATTTTAATTATAGAATTTCCTATATCTTATGGCTATATCAAGTATTTTTTTATTGCAACATACTAATATTAACTTATTTTCAAAATATAATTATATTACTGGCAACTTAAAAAGTTTAATTTAATTAAACATATGTAATTCAAAAGATGAAATGAGTTAAAAAAAAAAGTAAAAAATTTTAAACTAGTTAGGTCGGATCAAAAGGTTTACGAGGTCGGCTGAGTTGATTAAGTTTACCAAGTTTGACCAATTTTTTTTTTTTTTTTTTGAAGATGGGTTAAAGCATGCAACCAACTCGTTTTTCTTCCCAAATTCGGTTCAACTGGCCAAGAATAATAATTGTTTTTTATTTACAATAATAGTTGTTTAATAGGGGTCTAAATAAATATATATTTTATTTAGAATTTATTTTAAAATAATAATTTTAAAACAAATTGATCCCAATTCTTGAATTTAATCTCAAGCATCATCTAAGCCATTTGATTTCTATTTGTGTTTAACAGATTTTGAAGAATTTGCCCAACCCAATAACGCTGCAAAGTCTTCAATCACGACTGCGATTCAAAGGTGATGACCTGCGATTTGGTATTTTGAAGAAGACGATGCAACGTGGATTTAAATCATTAATGAAGTCCCCACACTTATAAGAGTTTCACACAAGTCCAAAGGTTATTTGTTTGAAATGGTCCATGTGATAGATTTGTAGTAAATTGGTAATGTTTAATAAAAATTTATTCATTTATTTTGATGAATCTTATCTTTGAATATTCTGAAGTTTTAATGGTTTGAATTTTTGAAGTGCTATTATTTCTAGTTAATTTTATAAATTATAAGGATTAAATTGTATAAAGTAATGTTGGAGAAATTTTGAAGATTTTTCCTTACCAAACAACAGAAAATATTTTCTTGAAATTAAAATCTTCTAAACTATTCCAAACAACAAAAAATAATTTTAAAAAAAGAATATTTTCCTTGAAAAATATTTTCAAAATAAAGTCCTTTTTTTTTTTTTGTGAACCAAACAAACCCTAAAGCCATTTAAGAAGTGCTGAGAGATTAGGAGCAGACAAACAGGAGAAAGAAACAGAAAAATGGTAGTGGGTCTAGCAAATCCATCATTTTGAATTACATTGGTGCGTTGTTGTTTAATAGATGGTTAAGCTTTTTGATTGGTTCTGTTCTCCCAATTCAGTTCTCATATTGTAAATATTATAACAAGTGCAGAGATACATTTGTCTTATTGCTATAAAAGCAATGATAATGGCTTTTTTTTCTTCTTCTTTTTTCTATGATTAATCTAATATGGATTCAAATTTGGGATTTGGAAGTGGTTTACAACATTAAAAATTAGGGAGGAAGGAGAGTAGAGACCAATAATTTGTTAATATGAGTAAAAAAACTTATTTTATTTAATAAGATTTTAAATTTAAATTTTATAAATAAAAAAATAAATATTAAAAAATTTTATTTTTTTATAAAACTGAATATAACTTAACTTTAAATTAATTGAGTTATATTGTCACATTTGAACAGAGGGTTAGTAGGAAGGAAAAGAGGAAAGGGGAAAAGGAGAGTGTG